AACCTCCAACTCCTGGGCTCAAGCGAGTCTCCTGCCTCAGCCTCCCAAGTAGGTGGGACCACAGGCGCCCGCCACAACGCCTGGCCATTTTTTTGGTTGCAGCCATCATTGTTGTTTGGCGGGCCCGAGCTGGGGATTTGAACCCGCCATCTTAGGTGTATGTGGCAGGCACCTTAGCCGCTTGAGCCACAGGCGCCGAGCCTGTTTCCTTTTATTATTAATACCGAGAATCTATGCAGAGAATTCACACCTAATACGCGAATACATCGTGTTTAGGACAGCTAGAGTTCCCTCAGTCCCCAGGTCCTTCTAATTGTGCTATGAGTTCAGGTAGGTTTTTTTGAGAGACAGAGAATCAGAGAGACTGGCTACTTTTTATCTGTGATAATGACTCTTCTGGTGCAGGTTCTCAAAGCCAAGGAATCTGAGTGCACCCCCCGGTCAGTGCCAATCTGTAAATCTGTTCTAGGACCAGGAGAAATGAGAGTCTTAGCTTTGCTCACAACTAGATGAGTGGTCAGCTCAAGTGGTGAATCCTCTGCTTTTTGAATGGTGTGGTTGGCTGGCAGCCTTTGCCATTGTCTTTATTTATTGAACCAAGCTAAAGACTGAGCACAGCTACAGCCTTGTCCATTGCTTTTAGAAATAAAACGCCTGTATGTGTATCTATGTCTGTATTTGGTATTTTAGGTCCATCAGAAACCTCTAACAGTAACCAAAGAATATTCTCAACCTCAGGGTCCATGCTAAGATCTGAAGTGACCCCCAGAATTGTGGGCCTGCTGGGGTGAGTGGGTGACAACACCTGATTATGGCCGAGGGAAGGAACCAGTCAGTCAAGCCTAGAAAGCCCATCTGTTCTACCCGGGGCGTTCCTGGATGCTGGAGCTGATGGCCAGGCTCACAAGTACTTGTGTTCTAGAACCAGAAACCCCAGCAACCTTACTGGAGAAGTCCACAGATCTAGGAGTGACCAATTAAAGCAAACAAAGTTATGCTTATAGCCTGATTCAGGGGGCTCCCTCTCATACTCAGCCTCTACATTCTTCTTCATATTCCCATTTTTATTGTTGTTAGATCTCTTAAGAGTTCTGGCATATAACAGTGTCTTCCTGAGACCTTCTGATCTCTCTGTTCAACACAGAAAATTCCCCAGAATCCTCTTTCACAGGGTTGAAGCTTCCTTTTAAATGATGAGCTTTCATGGACCCTCTTGTCCCCCCCCAAATACCCCAAGACATCATGTGGTACCTGCTAAAGCTAAGAACTGCTTTCTCTGGAGACTGTCCGGTGGAGAGGCCTGGAAGTCTGCAACCATCCTGTGACTGTGCCCAGTATGTGAAGTGCCACTTCACCTTGACAGCCAAACTCAGAGGGCTGGCCACAGAACTGTGTCTCTATCTGATCACTCACTCTCCATAATCATCCAGCTAAGCTGCTCTAAACCTTGGAGTGGGACTCCTATGTCTAAGATATGTTTGTCTTGCCAGGTATCCTAGAGACAGCTGGGAACCAGATGAACACTGCGAGGCATTCAGCTCTGTTTCTTAGAAGACTTAGTCTAAGCATTTGGGCTTGAGAAGTCCAGGAGCCTCTCTTGGTGATACATCATTCATTCTTTTTTGTTGTACCAAACAGGCTGCCCGCTACTAAACACCTCTGCTCCCCTGGCCGCTGACATCCAGGGGTCAGCCAGGCTTGCTCAGCCCAGAGCCACCAGTTCGAGGCATCTGGAATTTTCTTTCTCCACCTGTAGTGCTTAACAGCAGAGGCCTCCCTGCATCACTGTCTCTTTCTCCACTCCCAACCTTCTAACTTTTAGAAATCCAGAACAGTTAGCTGAGTTCCCTGTGGGGAAAAGTGTGCTGGGGTTTGAGAGTGGGATAAATGGTGCTATCCACTAAATTAGGCCACCAAAGAATTGCCCCGCTGGCCCTTTTAGACACATAAAGGTCACAGATGCTTTGCTGGCCAGGTAAGAACAAAAATCATCCTCTAAATAGCCAGGAGGGCTGGGAGCCCAGATGCCTGAGGGCACTGGACTGTGCTTCTCTCACTCAAGAGCTCTGTCTTAGGCCTTTCTGTTCTTTGGAAGCTTGAAAAGAATCTCACTCTCTTTGCTGCACTATCTTTTTTCTTTCTCAAACTCTGATGCTCCTGCCCATAGCACCCTGTGTCCCTAGTGCTTCTTCATCTGGTTTATTTCTTTTATTTTTAATTTATTCATTTTTTTTCTTTTTTGAGATAGAGTCTTACTTTGTTGCCCAGGATAGGGTGCAGTGGCGTCAGCCTAGCTCACAGCAACCTTAAACTCCTAGGTTGAAGCAACCCTCCTGCCTCAGCCTCCTAAGTAGCTGGGACTACAGGCACCCACGACGATGCCCAGCTCATTTTTCTATTTTCAGTAGAGATGGGGGTCTTGCTCTTGCTCAGGCTGGTTTCAAGCTCCTGAGCTCAAGCAATCCTCCTACCTCGACCTCCCAGAGTGCTGGGATTACAGGTGTGAACTACTATCCTTGGCCTCCGTGCCTGGTTTATGAAGCAGAGCGAAGGCTGGGCATTTTTCTGACGCCATTGCTAGCATCTCACCAAGACACAACCATGGAGCAACTGAAAACCAGCAGCCAAGTGTTTGGATGGGTCTGACTGTCTGCAGACTGCCCAGCCTCCCCGCCATTGCCTTGTACTTAAGCTGACTTCTTTCCCAGTGCCCCTGGTGATATGCATAAAAGGGCATGACTAAGCAGAGACTGTGATGTAACATTTATTTGCTGCTGATATTTTTTACTTTGAATGAGGGTGAGCTATAGGTTTTCATTTTAAATGCTTTTCAGAAGCAACCCCAACTCATTCCTGGGACAGACCTCCCTTATAACCAAGTTAAGTTTGGGAGCCTAAACTCCCCACCCCCAAAACTTCTGTCAGAGCCGGGGAGCTGACAGCAACTTTCCAGGTCAAGGTCTTGTGTAGAAAGTCCCTTGCTCTCATGCTGGCTGACTCTGTCCTAACCATTTTGGCATTTTGCTTCTCAACAGACTCCAATTGCAACTGCAGTTCCCTGCTGAGTTTGTCTCAAGGAGCCCTCTAGCCACCCTCTTTGTCTTTAATGGCTATAAAAATCCAGTTCAGAGGAGAGAAAATATTAATCAGGAGAGCTCTGCCTTTGGAGGTATATACCGGCACTGACGCAGAACAGGCCATGGAATAAAATGGGCACCAACATGCCATCTGAACGAGGAGCCTCACAAGGTAAACAGGCTGCGCACAGCACAGCTGGCCTGGCCGAGGCAGGGCGCAGGTCCAGGTAAGCCCAGGGTGGGGGGAGTAGGCTGCATAAGTTTTGTGAGCAGGACTGGTTCTGAGCAGAAAGGGCAAGTTAAGGAAGCGAAGCCTAAAAATGCAATTCTCCCCACAAGTTCTTTCTCTCCTCTTATTTGGTTTTCCTCTGACAACAACACGCCCCACGGGCTGAGAGCAACTACCCTTGTGTCTAACTGATAGTGCAAACTCCTTCTTTAGACTTTCAGAGCCACAGAAGCTAGAGCTAAAGAAGCCGACTCCATGGCCATGAGGACCAGCTCTTGAGTCTGTGGACCCTGTAATACAGCAGCCCCAATCTTAAGCTAGCTTGTGTCATGCGCAGGGGCATCAGGTGACTGGGAACAGGCCACCTGGCCATCTCCAGGTGGGGAGGGGACAGCTACAGAGTAGACCACTGAGAGGTCCAGAAAGGGAGAACCCTTGCATCACAACACAATGAGATTAGGTCATTGTTCCTTTAAAAACTCCGTGTGGTTGCTCTTCTGCCCCCTCTTCAATATCTGGGCTGTGCTGACTAAGCTGCAGCTCTGGGGACATAAACCACCCTCTCATCTTCTTGCCCAGGGCATGCTCCGAGAGGCCAAGAAAAACCACTTCTCTTTGCTTTCACTGTCACTGCTGCAGCCCCGCGTCGTCTATACTATGGTTCGAAGGGGAGACCTGGCTTTCTCAGCACTGCTCAGCCTCCACGAAGCCCTCCTTCTCGTGGCCTGAGGGCTCGACCTCAGTGTAGGTGGAGTGGCTGGGGTGGTTGTGGAACTTCATAGCCGGCCAGTGGTGAGGTCTCCGCTGAGAGAGGAGAGTACAGAGGCAAAGTCAGAGGTCATGACACCAACCAGGGGGACTCTTCAGGGCCCCTTTCCCCAAAGGGCTCCCACTGTGATCCCTTGACTACCGGGGAATCAGCTGGGAGCCAGAATTTGGAAGGGCCTTCACTGTGTGGTCTGTGTGGTCTGCACAACTCACACCTAAAGCTTCAGCAACACACTGAGTGGAGACCTGAGACTCCAAAGTGAAGGAGTGTGTCAGAGAAGGCTGGAATGATCTGGGAGGTTCTGCAATGCCAAGATAACCCTCCAGATAGCATGGGTCCTGAATCAGAGTGAAAGGGGCAAGGTGGGGGAATATCACAGGGGAGGGGCTGTTTATTATAATGCAGATTTCTGGGCTGCCCTAACTGAATCCCTGTAGTGTAGGGATCTGCAGTTCCCAGGTGTCACCCAGGTAAGCTAAGCCTTCAGAATGACTGGCTACAACTGATAAGAAACAGGGGTTTGTCTAAACAAAGTGGGGCCTGACTGAGTAGTCATAGGGGTGCCACTGCACCCTGGCAAAAAACCAAAAGCAGAGGCAGGTAGCAAGAGCTGCTGAGCCATGTGTGGCCAAGTGAAGGGGCTGAGCCCTCTGTCCCACATCCTGTGCTGCACATCAGGCTGGTTCTGCAGCATTCAGAGACGTTCAGAACTGCAGCATCCTCATAAAGCCCCAGAGAGGGCAGTCCCTGTTATGGTTTTGGCTTGGCAGTTTCAATCTAAAACCCCATACCAGCAGGCAAAAGCAGCCAAGACCTTGGTTCCACTGTGGCTTTGAATAAGTATAGAGCCTAGAATTTGGGCATGAGAGACCATAAGTCGTTGAGGACTGGCTGCACAGCCACTAAATGAGCCTTGTGTGGCATGTCTGGCCTTCTTTCTTTCCTCTGGGGACTTTTCTGATTTCTCAAATGTGGGAACAAAAGCAGATGGGCTGCTCCCCAAAGACAGCAGGGCCAAGTGAGTTCTCAGGTGCTTAAGGGGCACCAGCCACTTTGAGGTGAGCCACGATAAGTCAATCGATGAAGTCTTCTCAGCTGTGTGGCAGGTGAGGCGTGAGATGGGAGAGGCAGATATTAAATGGCCCTGGAAACACGGAAGCAGAAACAGACAGCAGGCCTCTGGCCAAATGCTACACTGACCTCAATGAAGAAGAGGGCGGCGTTGGAGGTAGGGTGGCCACTGATGTAAATCCCAGCCAGGATGATGGCCGCCACGAGGAGGACTGCCAGCACGATGCCCACAATGGTGCCCAGGTGCATGGGGACACCCTTTGTGTTGGGGGACAGGTTGTTCTGAAGGCCTGTGGAGAGACCATTAGGGCAGTGATAGGCTGCAGGGCAGCATGGAAGGGTGGGCCACAGAGATTTGGCTTCTGACAAAATCCCTGAGATGAAAGCTGACAGAGTCTTTGGGCCTGCTTATCAAATATTAATACATGACAAGGTGGGGCAGGAAGTGTTGGAACCATTATGTGTATGGCATTAACGTTGCTCCAGGCACCATTCAGGATGTTCCAAAGTCACTTAAAAATTGCCCCACATCCAATAATGATCATAAAGGCAGTTATCTCTGATACCTGTGCCACAAAAATGCTATCAAGAAATTCACAAGGGGCGGGTGATGGTTAAAAGTTTGGGATGTGGGCTTGGCGCCTGTGGCTCAAATGGCTAAGGCGCCAGCCACATATACCTAAGGTGGCGGGTTCAAATCCAGCCCGGGCCTGCCAAACAACAAGGAAGGCTGCAACCAACAAAATAGCCGGGCATTGTGGCAGGCACCTGTGGTCCCAGCTACTTGGGAGGCTGAGGCAGGAGACTTGCTTGAGCCCAGGAGTTGGAGGTTGCTGTGAGCTGTGATGTCACAGCACTCTACCCAGGATGACAGCTTGAGGCTCTGTCTCAAAAAAAAAAGTTTGGGATGTGGACTCTGCCTGCCTGGTTCAAAATCTATACTCTGCCACTTACAAGCTGTGTGAACTTGGGTAAATTATTTAACCTCTCTGTGTCTTCATATCACTCCTGTAGAAGTGAGAGCTAAAATGAGATAATTCGTGTCAAGTACTAAGGACAATGACTGGCATCTTAGATGACCTTAATTAAGTATTAGCTATTATAATAGCAAATGACCATTTTTTTTCTAGTCACTGCTACCAGAGTGTGACTTCCTAGAGGGTAGAGATGGTGTCTTATTTATCTCTGTGACCTTGGTACTTAGAAAAAATGGTGAAGCTGTCGTAGGAGCACCATAAAAGTCTATGGAATGGGGCGGTGCCTGTGGCTCAAAGGAGTAGGGCGCAGGCCCCATATGCTGGAGGTGGCGGGTTCAAACCCAGCCCTGGCTAAAAACTGAAAAGAAAAAAAAAACTGAATGAACAAGGTCCTCTGGAAGCTAATAAGCCAGCAGGTGTTCTCTGAGAACATCCCAAGCATTTAAGATACATTCCAAGGAGGAGATGGAGGATTTTCCACAGACTGTTGAGCTGGAAGCTCCTCTAGTCCTTTCTTATATAACTGAGGTAATGGAAATACAGAGAGGTAAAGTGATTTGCCCATGGACACACAGATTCAGTGCCAGCCACTAAGAAGCCTAGTTCCTTGACATTATCTGGGTGGCGGTTTGCTTCTTTACCATACCCTAAAGGAATGTGGGGATAATGAGGTAGAGAACCAGATGAGCGGGTCAACAACAGAAATATGAATTCAGCAGAGCACAGTGGCTCATGCCCACAATCTCAGTGGCTTTGGGAGGCTAAGCTGGGAGGATTGCTTGAGGCCAGGAGTTCAAGACCACATCTCTACAAAAAGTTTTAAAAATAGCTGTGTTATGATAGCATTTGCCTGTAGTTCCAGCTATTTGGGAGGCTGAGGTGGGAGGATCACTGGGCCCAGAAGTTTGGTGAGCTGTTACAGTGAGCTATGATTATACCACTGCACTCCAGCAGCCTGGGTGACAGAGTGAAACCCTTCTCTTAAAAAAAAAAAAAAAAATTGAATACTTTTTACATAGCTAGTGGGTGGTGGATCTTTAATAGGATGTTGCATGCATTCAAAATCATTTTCCTCTTTTCTTTGTTTAGAACTCTGTAAGCAGAAAAAACCCAGAATGGGACCATCGTGGGGCTCTCCAGTACATGGCTAGTGCCTCTATCTGCTGATAGGAAGGAGGGCTGAAATGCCACAAGCTAGCCTCCCCAACTGGCAATCACTGCAACCTGCAGAGGCTTGGACTGACAAGTACTCCGTGCAGGCTGAGGAGGGGTGTGTCCTGGCTGCCCCTCACAGAACACACACACACACACACACACACACTCACACACTCTTGCTGCCTATAGGGAGCAGTGGCTCCCCCTCTGCTGGGAGCTGAAATCAAACTGTGCTACATTAATAACCTCCCCACACCTGAAGGCCACTCTCCAGCCCCTGGGATCGAAACTCATTTCCATCAGGGGTTGCAGCAAGAGTCTGAGCTGGCTGTGGGCAAAGGACAGGGGCAGTGGGGGCCCTCACATTGTCAGAGGAGATTGTCCTTCTAGGTAATTCTGGAGGTTGGAGGGGATCCCACCTCCTGCAAAAATTGTAGTGGGCAACTTTCGTGTCCTCTCTGCCAACCCAGGTTGGGAATGGAAGGAAGCAACGGGAGAGAAGCTACTCTCTAGCCCTCTCATCCTACAGCCCAGGGAATGAGGGGATGTGACTCCTCCCCAAGAGGGCCCACCTCCTCTCTGCCCTGGCTCTGCTCTTCCCCCTCCTCTCATGCCTTTCATTGAGTGAATATTCAAAAGCCAAGAAAAGAACCACAGGAGGTTCACAGCTGGCAGGAGTCCTGTTCCCGCAGTCAAGTTCCTTTAATCTAGAGGATCTGTACCCAGAAGCCCCAGGGCCTTCCCACCCAGCAGGGAGTCTGGGAAGCTCAGGGTGTAGTTGCTGCCTTTCCTCCCCTACAAAAAGAGGCCAGGCCACCACGGCACCCTCCTCTGGGGTGGGCTTACAAGGAAGTGGGTCTGATGAGGGATAGGCAGTTCTGTACTCACCATCTCCTTCTGCGTAGGGACTCAACTTGGTGTCATCTTCAAAGAGAGAGGACAGAAGGAACAAATGATTAGTAGAATCATCACAGCCTTTGTCACTCTGGGTCCCAGTGGGAATTTGGGGAAGTTTGGGCCAAGCTGTCATTTTAGAGGCAAGAAAACTAAAGCGTAGAGAGGGGAGGAGACTTGCTCAAAGTCACACAGCAGTTCATCATAGCTGGAGGGTGGAGAGTATGTGAGAGAGGGGTGGTGAGGGAGGAGACTGGGGGTGGAGGGACAGCTGGAGAGCCAAGTAGAAGACCTTGCACATCCTTCTAAGAGGCAATGGAGAGCTGAGGAAGGG